AAACAGTGGGTACAAAATAGCCAGGGGGAGGTTAAGAATAGTATAGGAAATGGAGAAGCCAAAGAACTTATATGGACGACCCATGGACATGAACTAAGAGGGGGCAATGCTGGTGAGATGGGGCTGGCAGAAGGGAATAAAGGGGAAGGAAAAAATGGGACAACTGTAATAGCATAATCAATAAAATATATATTAAAAAAAGACTTAATTGTAAGACTTGAAACCATAAAAATTCCAGAAGATAACATAAACAGTAAAATCTATGACATCTCTCTTAGTAATATTTTTTTCTGATACATCTCCTCAGGCAAGGGAAACAAACAAAAAAAATAAACAAATGGGACCACAACAAAATAACAAGCTTTTGCACAGCAAAGGAAACCATCAACAAAATGAAAAGACAGCCTACTGAATGGAAGAAGATATGAGCCAGTGAGATATCCGATAAGAGGTTAAGATCCAAAATTTACAAAGAACTCGTACAACTCAACATCAAAACCCCCCACAACAATCCAATTTAAAAATGGGCTGAGGACCTAAATAGACACATCTCCAAAGAGGACATACAGGTGGCCAATGGACAAAAGAAAAGCTTCTCAACATCACCCATCATCAGAGAAATGCAAATTAAAACGAGATATTGTCTCGCATCTATCAGAATGGCTATCAGCAATAAATGAACAAACAAGTGCTGATGAGGATGTGGAGAAAAGGGAATCCTTGTGCACTGTTGTTCAGAATGCAGATTGGTGCAGCTACTATGGAAAATACTATGGAGTTGGCTCAAAAAATTAAAAAAGCAATGTTTACTTTTAAAACTAAGGAAAGACAAAAACAAAAGTATGAAAACAATAAACTTGATTGAGTAGGCAACAGCCCACAGTTTGGTTTGCCTGACAGGTTATATGGACTCCCAGGTCATATCTCCTTTAATTCCTTCCTGTCCAAGAATGTAATTTGCCTGTTCTTGGGCAATTCTCTTTTCTACTTCAGATTCTTCTTCCCCTCTCCTGGAGAAGGGGTTACACTGAATCTCTAGCTACTCTGTTACCAGAGTAATCCATAGAAGGAAGAAATTATTACATTCACCATAGCTGTGTATCACATTACTAACCCTTGTTCATACACATTCAACAGCTTTCACCCCTGCATGAAAAAAATGAGTACACATTCCAACAACATCCTATAGGACCTTCATACTCCAATGGAGAAAGGAATTCTCAACATGGGAATTATGCAGCATTTGAACCTGTCAATTAAATGGCACTTTTTTCCATCTTCAATTTAAAAAAACATTTCCACCTTTTTTTCCCTTCATTTCCAAGAGGGATTTCACAAGATGATGCTAAGGTCTCAAGGTGTTGGCAAATCTATGATGCATGAAGTATCTCTCGTAGCATACCTCCAAGGAGTCTATATGCTTTCTGTAGATCATTCCATGTGCGTGCAGAAAGAAACCAAGGGGAACAGTAGAGAGTAATGTTTAAGAGCTTGAGCTCTGAAACCAAACTGCTCTGGAATTGAGTTCCTATTGTTTGCTAGCTGCACAACACTGGCCAAGTTATTTAACATCCCTGAGACTTTATGTCTTCATCTACTTAGAAAAATAGTTGGCCCTGGCCAGGTAGCTCAGTTGGTTAGAGTGTTGGCCTGATACATCAAGGTTGCAGGTTCAATCCCTAGTCAGGTCACACAGAAGAATCAGCCAATGAATGCATAAATAAGTGGAACAACAAATCAATGTTTCTCTCTCTCTCAAATCAATAAATAAAAAAAATTTTAAATAGTAATATCTGGCATTGATTGAACCCATACTATATGCTAAGAACTATGTATGCTAAGTTTTACATGCTTCACATACATTTTCTCTTTTAATCTGAACCATGGCCCTGTGAAACAGATGCTATTATCACCATTTAGTAGGTAAGAAAACTGAAGTAAAAAGAGGTTAAATAGTTTGCCAGAGATCACCAGTATATGACCATAAATGATGAAGCCAGGATTCAAACACAGGCAGTCTGATCCCAAGACCCATGCTTTGCATCATTTCCTTCTTCACATTGAGTTTATAAGGATTAAATGAGCAAATATACATTAAGGCCCCTACATAGCATCTGACACATAAACAAGCCTTAAGTAAATGTCAACTGTAACATAATTTGTAGCACTGCCACTTGTTCCAAGAAATTTCTGGGCCAGGATATTTGGCATGTATTGCAGTTAATGGCCCTGGGGTATGTGTCTTGCAATTGAACTGACAGGGCTCTAGTATTAATTAAACCATCTGCTTATTATGGGTTACCTGATTAAGAAATGGGCTAAATGGTTGAGAATTTTTTCATTTGCTCATGAGAAAAAACTCCCCATACTAGAAAGAGATATGAAGTCTCTTATAAAAGAATGGTATACTGAGCAATAGCTAGCAGAACTGCAGGCAGTACCCAGATTATAAATAGTTATATTTCAAAAGTTCGTTTGTCTCTTGCTATAACTCTGAATACATAGAAATAAGGTTGCAAATAGTGGTTACATTCCAAGCCTATTCACAAAAGTCTATTTATTTAGCCCATTTTAAAGCTCAATGATAAAAATCATGCCACTAACCCAAGGGCAGGCCTAGGAACAAGAGTCCATGTGATTAAAAAATAAGAAAAGTATCTTTCCTGGAAGGAAGGGAAGTTGATATAGAGTATATTATCTACTGCTCTGTAACAAATTACCCCTAAACTTACCATATTAAAACAATACACATTTATTATCTCACAGCCTCTGGGGTGGCTTACCGGGGTAGTTCTGCTCAGGATCTCTCATGAGGTTTCGGTCAACATCACCCAGACTGCAGTCATCTGAAGGTTTTTCTAGGGAGATCCACTTCGAATATGACTCACTCATATGGCTGTTGGCAGGAGGCCTCAGTTCTTCATCATGTGGGCCTTTCTAAGGGGCTGCCCAAGTTCCTCATGACAGGGTAGCTCTGGCTTCCTCTAGTACAAGTGATCCTAGAGAACAAGAAGGCAGCTGCAATGCCTTTTATGACATAGTCTTACAAGTGACACACTGTCACTGGTGCCAGATTCTACTCATTATGGCCTGTAAGCTATTCATAAGAGCAGACCATACTCAGTTGGGAGGGGGACGTGAGCTCTACCTCTTCATGTGAAGTGTATCCCAGAACTTTTTACTGTATCTTAAAATCACCATGGAGTTTTTTGTTGTCCTCCCATCATTCTCTTTAGGTACCCAGTTACACAAAATAGTTAAATTGTAATGCATAATTTCCCAAAAAGATATAAAAAAAATAAAAATGCCTAGTTTGTGCATAAAAGGGTTTCCCAGCAAAGTTTACTGTAAATACAAAAAAAAAAATCCATTCTCTTGTCTCAACTTTTCTTAAAAACAGCTATCCCTTTCCTTTAAATGGAATTTCATTTGAAGAATTTATACTAAAGAGAGAGCTATCACACTCCTGGAATATATCTGCTTTATCCATTTATATCTCTCAGTAAAATATCAGGCAGTAAAATAAACAAATTAAAAACAACAAATAACCTACTCCCAATCTATGGATGAAGATATTTGGAGTTAGGAGAGCAACCTTCAGTAAGTTCTTTACCTTCTGCTGATAATAACCTAAGTGGCCTGATTATTGAATATTCTGGGTCTTGGGAACCATGAAATCTCTGATCCAGGTTTCCTAACCTGACTCCCATAAGAATCTATTCTTAAGCAGCTCTATTAAGAATATTGTGGGCCTTCAAAAGTGAGGGACTGTCCTGGAATCCAAAAGCAGTTGGTGTTCTTGCATCTGAGACATGCAAAATTCTAAAGCGACATCTGAATCATCGGAGGAAAATGATGTGTCATATGACTTTTTATTATATTTTTTGTAACATGAAATTTGGTGATCCATGTAGACTGTTGTCAAAACATAACGTTATTATAAACACTGGATAAATAGGCGTTTGCACTGTAATTCAACTCCATATAGAAGCTAGCGTTTGATCTATACAATGATTTCTCCTGACAGTGTTTTGCTGTTGCTGTTTTTAATCTTATTTGAGATTTAACCCCATCTGAGAATATAATGAAGTGTAAGGGACTTACTCAAGATAATATACATACCCACAAAATTGTGCACCTAAATTTAAGACCTTCCAAATTCCTAAAATCCATCCAGGGAATCACGATGGAGGTGGATGGGGGAGGAGGGGGTTGACGGCGAGGGAGAGATTACCCTTCCATTAACATTTAGATCTAAATTAGAAGCCTTTTCTCCGAGCTTAATGAATTTTAACTTGTTGTTAAACAGAACCGAAGGCCATAACAGATACTTCTACTAGATTTTCTGTGCTTGGGTTTGGTCCATATTGTGAATACTTGGAGGCAAAAGGAATGTGGAGTGCGCACACAGATCAAACATTTTTGCTGAAAAACAGAAATTGCTGTAAATATACATTAGGACACAGAACTGCTGACGACCATAGCCTTGCCCTCTCCAAGGCGACCTGCCTGTGCTGCAAATTTTGCCAACTTGTCAGAGAGGCGACTAAGGAAAGAAAAGCTGCTCGATTTCCCACTTAGCAAGAAAGGGCTAAACTGGTTTTCTGCAGGGCATCCTAAACCAAGAGCAGTCGCAAGGTTTTTCTACGGAAAATCTTCGGTAGAGCGAACGCCCAGCCCCGGGAGCGACGGTTCGATTCTACCCACTGAGCCCGCGGACCCCGGTTGTCTGCACAGCTGTCCTTCAACGAGGGCAAAGGGAAGGGCCGTGCCGGACAAGGGCTCGCCGGCGGCTGTCCCTCAGGCAGAGGCGAGCGCAAGGGCCGGCAGCTAGGACCCCGGCGAGGGGCCGAGGGCGCGGCGCGCGCCCCTGTCGGCTCCTCGCGGGAACCTCAGCCCTGCGCCGCGGCCTGCGTGTCCCCGCGTCTACCCCTCCCTCACGCGCCTCGCCTGCGGCCGCTCCGGCGCACGCGCGCGGACTCGCGCAGGGCGGGGAGAGGCGACGGCCCCGGGCGCCCGGCCCGAACCTGTCAGACCCGCGGAGCCGGCCTGGAGCTGCGGGCGCTGCAGGCGAGAGATCGGGCCGTCCCCCGCGGCTCCGGGCCGAGCTGAGCAAGCCAGACCCACCGACCCGGCCGGGGGCGGGGAGATGAGCGGCAGCCCTTCGGTGGCTCCCCAGAGAGACGCGCCGCCCCCTCGCGGAGCCGCGGCGCCTCCGAGCTGGCCCTGCGCCCCGCGCCGCCCGGGGCTTCGGAACTTGTGGGCTCCGATGGAGCGCCTTTAATCTAGAACGCGTTTCGTTTTCCACAGGATGGGGAGGGACGCGCGGCCGTGCCACCGGGAGCTGGCGCTCCAGTGAAGCGGGAGCCCCGGCCGTCCGCCCGCCTGCGCGGAGCCGTTCGGCGCCGCGGCAGCGCAGCCTCTGCCATGGCCGGATCCGGCGCGTGGAAGCGCCTCAAATCTCTGCTGCGGAAGGACGATGCGCCGCTGTTTTTAAATGACACGAGCGCCTTTGACTTCTCAGACGAAGCGGGGGATGAGGGGCTTTCTCGGTTTAACAAACTTCGAGTTGTGGTGGCCGATGACGGTTCCGAAACCCCGGAAAGGCCTATTAACGGGGCGCACCTGGCCCTCCAGGCCGACGATGATTCCTTACTGGACCAGGACTTACCCTTGACCAACAGTCAGCTGAGTTTGAAGGTGGACCCCTGTGACAACTGCAGCAAACGGAGGGAGTTGCTGAAGCAGAGAAAAGTGAAAACCAGGTTGACCATTGCTGCCGTTCTGTACTTGCTTTTCATGATTGGAGAACTTGTAGGTGAGTTGTGTTGCCAACTCACTTGCCATTTCCATTTGTCAAGCGTTAGTTACACGTGATTTGAGGTCTAACATTTCTTTTCATGAAGCTTTTTATTTATCAAGGTACTGATCTCTTGTCATGTGAAAAGGCCACACAGTTTCAAAGTGCAGATCAATTTAAGTACAACATAAATTTATTGTATACCTTCATTGTATATTATGTAACTTCCTCTTTTAAAAATATGGTGATAAAACGCTAGATTAAAATAGTAAATGATTCTGGAGTTGCTTGGAATCATAGAATTTAACAGTATGAAGGGATCTTACTGAACACCTGCTCCACCTTCTTTTTCACATAAGGAGTCTCAGGGCCCAAAGAGGTTAAATTAGCTGTAAGGAAATTAGGTAGTTATGGAAGTGCCACCTCTCCAGTCCCAGTCTCTTGATTTTTTCCTATGCATTTGACTTATGTGGTCTCTTTATACTATTTTCTACTGGATTTACATCCCAGAGATTTGCAAAATTAAATACTACCCACTAACCTGGAAGTTTTTCATTATAAGGAGGATCTGAAAGGAACCAGAAAATGGCTCCCCCAGAGTTTATGAACTTGGTTTTATTTTTTCATTGTTCAGAGAGAAATTTCACAGTCACGTTGGTATAACTGCTAACTTGTCTTAGCGGCCATTTACGAAGGGACGTTAAAGCAGGGAGTTCATTTTCCCATGTTGTCTCTTAATAACGAACCATGGGGAGAACAGAGGTGGCCGTCCAGGTCTAAGGGGGGAAGTTCAGTGTAGGAAAACTGTGTGCATCTCCTACCTCATTTCATACCACTTCTCCCCACCGCTCACTTCAGCCAGGCTGGCCACAGCTCAAGTCTCCCCTGCCCTGAGGGCCTTCACCCTGCCCAGGCCCTCTGTCTCAGTGGCTTTCTAATGTATTTGACATCACTAAAGAACCACAATTAACATTGTGACTTGTGTAGGTGTGCATCATACATAGGTATCCATAGGACCGCGTCTATATAAACACACGTATAACTGAAACAGAAGTTTTATTTCGTGTGATGTGATCTAATATTTTTCCAGTTGTGGTCCCACCCCACTTCGTTGATTTCATGGGCCACAAATAGAGCGGAGTCTGAAGTTTGGAAAGCACTGCTTTATGTGGATTGCCTTTTCTCTTCTGTGGATCTTTTCTTGGCAGGTTTCTTGTTATTCGTGTCTCATCTCAAAAGGTATCTCTGAGACCTTACCTGATTAACCAAAGTAAACCTTTCTTCTCCCGTGTTCCCTCCCCAACATTAAAAGCCCTCAACATCTGAGATTTTTTTTTTTTTTGTATATTTACTTGTTTAATATCTGTCTTTCTCTACCGAAATACAAATTGAGTTCCCCACACTCGGAACAGTGATTGACACAGAGTAGATACTCGTTAATTTTTTGTTGAATTAATTGTCATTGTGTTAGAGAATTATAAATGCTTAAGCTGTGAAGAAATTAAAAAGTGGGAGTGATTCTGTGGCAAGATAAGGTATGGTGTTAGCAAGCTAAGATTCAATGACTTGCACAAATTCACATAACTATAATATTGAGTTATTCAGACAGTGATTTTTAAAGTTAATATTTAGTTTTTGAAGTTAAAATCACATTAATCACAATTTTCCCCTGTAAAATTAATTTAGAATTTATTTTGCCAGAGTAAAAACTATTAAGATATAATTGTCCTGACTTAACTATTTTTGAAATCTTTCATTTGGCAAATGTTTTGTGAAAACTACAATAAGTATTTCTTTTCAAGTACTGACTTTTCAAATACAAAAATCTTTTATTAAACAATACAGAGATGCTAGTACTTAGGATAGGCATTAACAATATTGTTTAGAATGTTATATAGAATTAAATTGTATGTAGTACAGCATTTATTAAAGTATGTCAAAAGAACTTAGAATTAAAGCATTTTTTGTAAGCATGGAGTAATTTTTCAAATGAAGTAATTTGAAGATTGAAAGAGATAATTTTGAACCTGCCACTACCTTGCTCTTGAGACCTTACAGGAGGTCCATTCTTCAATTCAGCAAGTATTTTTTGAGTATTTACTATATGTCAGGCACTGTGCTATGTGTTCTGGATATACAGTGGAGTGCAGAAGTATTATTATCCCTACTATATCTGAAGCATTTCATCTAATGGAGGACACAAATGTTTAAAAAAATAAACACACAAGTAAATTTAAAATCAAATGGTCTTAAGTGCTAAGAAGAAAAAGAACAAGGTACTATAAGACATAGTAACCAATGAGACATACTTTATGTATGAGCCAGGTACAGTTAAACTGAAGAAATAAAAAGAAAAGTAGGAATTACTCAAGCAAATGGAGTAGAGGAGTTTTCCAAGTGAAAAGAACAGCATTTACAAAAGTTCCTAAAATGGACCTTTTAAAAGGACTTAAAAGGAAGGCCAGTTTGACTGGAATGTAGTAAACGAGAGGGAAACAGGCAGGGGTACCACATCAGGCAGTTCCTGATAGACCGTATTAAATGATTGCAGTTTTAAATTCTAAATACAATGGGAAGCCAGGGAAGGCTTTTAAGGGGAGAGTGACATGATAGGATTTACTTTTTAAAAAGATTACTCTGGCTTTTATTTGGAGACTGGATTGGAGAGTACAAGAATGGAAGCAAGTAAACCATTGCAGAGGTCCAGACAAGAGATGATTATGGCTTGGACTAAAATGGATAGAGAAAAGTGTACTGATTGAGAAACATTCTAGAGGTAACATTGACAAACTTGGCTAGTGGTGCGGATGTGGGGGTTGATGGGAGAGCAGTGTCAGGAATGATTCTGAAGTTTCTCACCCAAGCAATTGAGTGTATTGGAATGTATGTCATTTTTGAAGCAGGGAGGAAATACAGAGGAGCATTTAGACATGGTTGTTTTATCCATGTTATAATATGCATATGAAATAGCCAGGTAACGATGTCTATTGAACATGAGTCTATATAGTTCAGAAGAGAGGTCAAGGTAGAGATATCACAAGTAATGCCACAAGAATGGAAAACATCACCTAGAAAGCCTGAGTCTGGAGGAACTCCAGCTTTAGAAGTCAGGCAGACTTCTGAAGACTAATAGGTATCCCAGAATCCAAGAAAAGAGAGTATTTCAAAGTGTCAATAAGTAAGTTGAAGCTGCAAGAGGTCCAGTAAGATGAGGACTAAAATATTCTTGGTGTTTAGTAACAGAATTTTTTTCTGCATTTTTTTTTTTGAAAGAGAAAAAACTTAAAAAGTGAATGCACAGACCTCCAGGTAAAGATGGCAAGTGGACTCATGCATCTAGTTGTACTTTCTCCTAAAGCCTCTCTTAAATTTACAATAAAGGGATATTTAAATATATATCTATATAATCTCCACAAAGATGTAGAAAACTGGGGAGGGGACAATAGCAACACAAATTTGGGAAACTAGAAAGGAAATTGATAAATTAGGTAAGTGACTAAGTAGACCCAAGAAAGCCAACTCCCAAGCAAGCAGTGGGGAAAGCCAGAACCAACCTAATGCATGAGAAACACCTAGAAAACTTACTCAAACACAAATTACTGGGGCAGAGTTTCTAATTAAGTAGTTCTGGGATAGGGCCTGTGAATTTGAATTTCTAACAAGTTCACAGGAAATGCTGATACTGCTGATCTGGAGAGCACTGTTAAGAACCACTGTAGTAGACGATCCTAATTAGACCCAGAAATGGTTGCAGTAGATACCCCTAGAAGTGTGGATAAAGAGGAAGGCTAACATAAGGAACTCTAGTTAAAACGTGTTTAAGACAGATGTAATAGTGTACTAATATAATTAGTCTCCACAGAGATAAGATCATGTATCCATGAAACAAGAACAGACTGCTTTAAAAAAAGAAACTCAGTTTTAAAAAGAAAGCTTTTAAACAATAAAAACATTTTAAAAATTTTTTTAACTTCACAGAAAAGTAAAAAAATGAACTAAGGTAATTGTGTATTTCTTTTATCCCTCTATTAGGAGATATTGCTGTATATATCCAAATGAATCAGTTATTTTTATCCTGTGTTTAGAAGTAATATACATTGTATGAGTTTCTTCAGTTTAATTTTATGTTTGAACCCTTCCAAACAAGTGAATACCTACTTTTTCTTCAGCTTTATTGTGAAATTTATATATTGTGGTTATTAATTTCACTGTCTAATAGTAGAATTAGTTGGTTCAGTTAAAGCTGCAGTGCTAAAACACAAAACTTACATGTTTTACCCTACAGTTTAGTGGTTCTTAACTTTTTAAGGTCATTGACTCCTCAGAGAATCTGTTCATAGAAATGGAAATTCTCACTAGAAAAATATGTGCATACTTAATGTTTCGCATAAAATTTCAGGTACCTTGATTTCATTGTAATAGGATAAAGATTTAGCTAGAAGTTCATGTTTTGTAGGATGTCACATATTTTTGGCTTGATTGCTTACATTTATTATTATGGTTAATTTATTCCTTCTTCCCTCTCATCCTTACTCTAAGGTGGATACATTGCAAATAGCCTAGCAATCATGACAGATGCTCTTCATATGTTAACTGACCTAAGTGCTATTATACTGACCCTGCTTGCTTTGTGGCTGTCTTCAAAATCACCAACCAAAAGATTCACCTTTGGATTTCATCGCTTAGGTAGGTAATTGAGAGGGTGTTTTAGTTTATAAAACTTTATGGTAAGACAACAATGAACTATATATAACATTTGAGTAACTGAAATCTTTCTGGTGATAAGTTCTGTTAAAAGAGATGAACAAAGCAAATAAAAATAGGTGAACAGGATTTATTCAGATACATATCTTCCTCTGTACGTTCAGCCCAGTCAGCTAAACACTTTACATATATAAAATTATATGATAGAGTGACTTCTAGTCAAGATAGCAGCATAGGTAAACATGGCTCACCTCCTCACACAACCACATCAAATTTACAACTAAAATATAGAACAACCATTACTCATAACCAGCTGAAACAATTGAATGGAAGTCTGACAACTACAGAAGTAAAGAAACCACATCCATCCAGACAGGCAGGCGGGGCAGAGACATGGATTGGGCTGGCCCCACATCCATGTATGGTGGATAAAAATTCAAGAAGGATATTTCAGGAGTGATGAGTCCCAGCCCCACACCAGACCCCCAGCGCAGGATTCCAGTACCAGGAAGACAAGTCCCCATGACTTCTGACTGCAAAAACCAGCGGGGATTGAGTCAGTGGAAGAAACTTCTGCAGTCCCAAGCAGTTCCTCTTAAAGAACCCACACACAGTTACTCCACTTCACTGTGTCTGAGCTCCAGCACCAGAGTAGTAGCTGGAAAGGCACAATGGCATATGGGGGAAACTCAAGTGTCTGGCATCAAGGTGAGAGCTGGGCGACAGCTTTCTCCCAGACAGAAAGAGGAGCAGAGCCACAGAGCCAGCAGGCAGGTGCCATATCTGAGACTTCATCAACCTGGATAGCACTGTTTGCCCTGCCCTGGACATCCCCTGAGGTTCCATTCCACCCAGCTTGGAGCAGATAACAGTAGCTTTTCCAAATGAATGGCTGGTCTTGGCTCATGCTTCACAACCTCCTAAATCTTCTCAAACAAGCAAGAGCAGGCCTCAGTGATGCCCAGTCCCCCTACCTCCTGCTAAGTGCCCCAGGCACAACTCTAGCAGCAGCCAGCCTAGATTCACAGCTTGGCTTCACCCAGGAATCTCCAAGCCCAGCACAAGTAGCAGCCATCTCAGACTGCTTTATTGCACTGGCAGGGTGGCCTCAGGCAAAACACAGGTGGGAGCTGACCTTGGCCTGCTTCACCCAGGGCTGCACAGCCAGTGGACAGCTACAGATCACATCAGTGCACCACAACCCTGTCCCTGTATAACTGATCCTCCACGGAGGGTGGAGATTGGTGGTCAGTGGTCACAGCCATTCTTTGCAACTGCCTGGCCTGGGTAAGTCTTTCCCATTGACCTGCCTACAGCAACCAAGGTTCAACTTCAAGATGAAGGTGTACTCAGCCCGCATAAAGGGCACACCTTGAGTACCCACCTTGGGTGATAGGGGAGGCTGTGCCACTGGACCCTACAGGACACCTACTGTATTAGACCATGCTACCAAGACAGAGTCATAGTAGCTCAACCTAATATGTAGAAACAAACACAGGGAGGCTGCCAAAATGAAGAGACAAAAAAAAACATGGCTCAAATGAAAGAACTGATCAAAACCTCCAGAAAAAGATCTAAATGAAATGAAGATAAGGAGTGTATCAGATGCAGAGTTCAAAACACTGGTTATAAGGATGCTCAAGGAACTTAATGAGGACCTCAACAGCATAAAAAATATCCAGTCAGAAACAAAGGATACACTAATTGAAATAAAGATGTACAGGGAAACAATAATAGAGTGGATGAAACCAAGAATCAAGACAATGATTTGGAACATAAGGAAGCAAAAAACAATCAGAACAAGAATAAAAAAGAATCCCCCCCCCCAAAAAAAAATGAGGATAGCATAAGCAACCTCTGGGATGTCAAATGTTCCAACATTCACACCATAGGGGTGCCAGAAGAAGAAGAGAAAGAGCAAGAAATTGTAAATCTATCTGAAAAAATAATGAAAGAGAACTTCTTCAATTTGGTGACTAAAATAGACATGCAAGTCCAGGAAGCACAGAGAGTGCCAAACCAGATGGATGCAAAGAGACCCTTCCAAAACATAATTAAAATGCCAAAATTTAAAGATAAATAAAGAATCTTAAAAGCAACAAGAGAAAAGCAGTTAGTTACCCACAGGGGAGTTCCCATAAGACTGTCAGCTGATTTCTCAAAAGAAACTTTACAGGCTAGAAGGGATTGGCAAGAAATATTCAAGGTCAAGGAAAGCAAGGTCATGGAAAGCAAGGTCATGGAAAGTACGACAATTGCTCTACCCAGCAAAGCTATCATTTAGAATTGAAGAGCAGTTAAAGAGCTTCTCAGGCATGAAAAAACTAAAGGAGTTCATCATCACCAAACCATTATTATATGAAATGTTAAAGAGAGTTATTTAAGAAAAAGGAGATCAAAACTATGAACAATAAATGGCAATAAATACATATCTATCAACAATTGAATCTAAAAAACAAACTAAGCAAACAAGAACAGAGGCAGAATCATGAATATAGAGAGTGTTTTGATGGTTGCCAGATGGGAGGGAGGTGTCGGGGAATGGGTGAAGAGATGAGGGGATTAAGAAGTACAAATAGGTAGTTACAGAATAGCCATGGGGATGTAAAGTACAGTATAGGAAATGGAGCAGCCAAAGAACTTACATACATGACCCATGGATATGAACAATGGTGTGGGGATTGCTTGAGGGAATTGGGGGAGCTGCATAGAGGGTGGCAAATGGGGAAAATTTGGGACAACTGTAATAGCATAATCAATAAAATGTAATTTAAAAAATTATTTGGTAAGCATTAATTTTTAAATGTGTTCCCTACTTCCTGAAGATGTTATCAGAAAAAAGTTTACCTTCAGTCTATTGAACCAAGCAAAACCATGTGGGTTTAATTCATTAATGTGCAATAGCTTCTTTCTTTCACTTAGATTATTCCAACCAAGGCTACTGTAGCCCAGATTTTAAGCATTACTATAATATATATAACATATGAGTATGCTCTGTGGCTGACCTTCATTGAGGCCATTGTATCAACATAATTCTGTGAATGCTGACAAAAATCTTTGCTTGTCAGATTTTAGTCAGTATCCTGAACCTTCTCCCAAGCCCATCTGTGCACTTCTTCTAAAATTTCTTGTTAGCAAGAAGGTTACTTAAACCAATTTAACAGAACCTCCCACTCTCAATATCTGACAGGTTACCCTCAAGTGATGACCTATTTTCAGCAGAAATTCTGTTAGGTCAGTTTAACCAGAATCCCACTTAGTTCTGTTTTCTCTTAGTAATTTTCCATCCACAGACTCCCACCCTGCTTCATGGCTATGAATTCCTACTTGCCCACTCAATATTCAGAGTTAAGCCACACTCTCTCCCCAACTGCAAAATCCCATTGCGGTGGTCCCTTTGCCTATCTCAATAACTTCTTCCCCCACTGAATGAAGTCTTCTTTGTCATGTTTTAGTTCACATATTTTATTTTTCTATTTTTAACAAATACTAATATTTAAGAGGTTAAAATCATGTAATCATACACAACTGTGCTTCTTGCTGTGTTACTGTTTTTAAATTTTTGCTTATTTAAAAAATACATATAAAATAATTGCTTGAACTCTTATATAAAGTACTATATGTCCACATGTCATTTGCTTAAAACCCAAAAGTTGACATTTAGATCACTTCAGCAAAACCTATCTTAGAGAACTGGAATTAACATTGTCGTTTTATTTTGTGGAGACACTGACACTCTTGGCTAATATATCTATCAGTTTTGCCCCTTTGTTATGTTTTAGCCTAATATTAACTCAATATTTAGGTCTTCTAAAATTTAATCACTGGGTCTTCTAGTATATAACTTGACACTGTAGCTGAATAGCTATATTTCAAGTAGCTATCCAACTCATCTGGTTGGGAAATTATCTAGTACTCACCCTCAGCACTCTCAACTGCTGTAAGAGAGCTAAAGCCCTGAGTGAGGTTTTCTGTTATTTTTTTAAGCCACTGCATAATGCATTTGGATATGTTCCTAAAAGAAACCCCACTACTTTCCAACATATTATGCATTCATTTGTTACTTGATTGACTTGGAGTTTTTTTTAACAACTTTAAAATTATTTTCAAACTTTAATTTTTTGTGGTTTAAACACCTTCAATTTAAGATCTAAAACATGGCATCATGGAATGGGGACTTTTACCCTCTAGCACTATTTGAGAAAAGTACATTTCATTTAATAGTTCTGTGGTTCTTAACCTCTTTTAGGATATAGACCTTTTGGAACTCTAATGAAGACAGTGGTGCTATATCCCAGAATCATGCAGTAGCAGAACATAGAAAGTCCTAAATATAAGTTAAAAACCAATAATCATGAAAATTCTATTAAATATCAAAGAAGTACAGTGGAACCTTGGTTCTCAAACATTTCTTTCCAGAAAACTGTTGAAGAAGTGATTTGTTCAAAAACTAAATTTCCTTTGTTTCCTGAGAGATCTGTGACTCCCACTTAGCAAGAGGTAGGGAGACTGGGCATCACTGAGGCCTGCTCTTGCTTGTTTGAGAGGATTTACGAAGTTGTGAAGCATACAGGTATCAGCATGAAAGGGTCGTCAGGTAGAAAATTAAGACCCAAAGTTTGGTTAGACAACAGACATTTTTTCAATGAACAACTTGATCGAGAACCAAATTGTTCAAAAACCAAGACATTAGAGAATCAAGGTTTGACTGTACTTAGTATTTATCTAGATAGTCACTTTGTTTACTCATAGATGATAAGCCCTAGGGAAACAAATGAGAGAGAAAATAGACCCAACTGGGCCTATCATGTCTCTGAAAATTTCTAGAGAAAGTTAAATCTTTCCCTTCCCTTAAAAGTACTAAGTTCAAGACAGTGGAGCAGATATCAGCATTTGAATCCTGTCTCTCCTGAGAGTCCATTGAAATAAAAATTACCAAAACAATAAAGAGAAGCAAATGGTCACTGGTAAACAAGAAATTT